CCCCCCCTTCCCGAGGTTTGTCCATTCCCCTACCCTTTTTTTTGTCGTGCGTCATATCCAAAGCTGCGCTATCCTGGGTGGCTACCTCAAGCACAGCTTTCTCTTTTTTTTTATTCTTTTTTTTTTTGGTTTTCGTATGCGTTTGATTTATACTACTTCAAGTGCTGCTGACTGTTTGTAGCGCTTGTGAGGCGAATATGTCTCGCGCAGGGGCCTCGCTGCTGCTCCGCAACCTCCACTGCTCACTGCCCGCGATTGCACGGCTCTACAAGGAGGCAGGGGAGACAGCAGCGACTGGCGCTGCACACAGCCATCGGTATGAAGCGTCTCACAACGAACTACCGCTGGATGTCTCGCTGGTGGCGGACGGCGAGGCCGTGTTGGACTTCTTCTGTCGGGAGCTTAACATGGGCGCGTCGGCACTGCGTCGCTGGCGCAGCGGCTTGGCGAAGGCGGCACACCGCCGCTGGCGGCTTGGTAATGACAGTCACCAGAAGGATACGATGCAGTCAGTGTGGCCAGTCAATGAGGACGATCTCTTGTTTGTGCAAAGTGCCATGGAGGACTTAAAAGCTGTTGTTTCACCCTTCCTGACGTTGTCACAGCCGCAATCAAAGAGTGCCGTGCGGGGGATCACCTTCGTGGCCACCCAGCGCATTCTGCCTGGCGTTTTTCTGTTGAGCTTGCCAGTGGCGGCTATTTTTTTTGCGCAACCACCGCCCTCGAACGATCCACTGACTTCCTTCTTTATGCACGTGGAGGAATTGGTGGGACAGCTTGTGGCGGCTGGTGACGGCGTGAATCCGGACGGCTGGCACCCTTCACATGCTGGGTACGTGGACTACTTGAAGAAGTCTGTCGCACCAAGCAACAACTTGCCGTTCCTGGAGTTGGGGGAGATTAATCGGCTCGTCAGCGACGCCAAGATGGCGAAGATGATGCTGCCACAGAAGAAAAAGATCAACACGGAGGTGCTGGAAGGAAACAACAACATTAGTAGTCCCGCAATCCACTTGTGGAATTACTTTCATCGCGATATGGGTGGCCTACCACTGAGTTCGTATCTGTGTGAGCGTCTCTCAAGAGACGAATATCTCTGGTGGGTGAGTTTGGTGTTGTCGCGGCGTGCCGGCGCTGCGACCCTAATCCCTGTGGTGGACAAGCTCAATCACCACCCGGAACCCAATTGTTATTACACAATGGCCACAGAAGAGAGTTTCTGTGGAATTGATGTGTTTGACAACCTCTTGGCTGGTGTTCCCTCTGAGTTGTTATACGAACCATTTCTGCATACATTCAGCATTCGAGAAATCCAGAAGGGGGAGGAGCTCACGCTCTGCTACGCATCTCCAACAATAAACCCGAACCAGCGCCTGCCAGGTGGAGGTGGTATGTCCGTAACGTCAGGGGAGGGTCGGGCGGCGTGGCTGCTGCAGTGGGGCTTCATCCCTGAGCGGGACTCACCGTATTCCTCCAGTGATCTGCAGGAGGTGGCTTCTATAGTAGCCGAGCGTCGTGTAGACCTTCGCCAAGAGCAATTCCCACCTGAGAAGTGAGTGTTGTGTTGGTGGCTGGTTATGATGGTGTCCATACATGTAATGGGCTCTGCGGACGCGGCTTTTGCGATCTTTGGGGGTGGGGGTCTGCGGGTGGGTGACTCTGTTTTTTTTTTTNGAGGGGGGGGGTTATTATTGCTATGTTTCCCTCCTCTACGGAGAAAGGCGCATCCTGTCATGCATTATGTTCTCTTTTTCTCGGTTACTTTTTTTTTTTATAATGTAGAGGGGATAGAAGTAATTACAAGTCTTGCTCTTCTTTCAACCCTCCGTTAGGGGTCATGGGGGGAGGAGTCGACGAATCAGACGCAGACGTGTCGCAGGACTCCTCTGCCTTGCAGTCGGCTATTGCCACGTTTATGCGCGACGCAACTGCCTGGCCGATGGTATATGTGACGCCTCACTCACTTGCAGAAGAGTTGAGGAAGCTACCAAGCAGTCAATCATCTCGTCTTTGTCTATCAACAGGAAAGTACGGCCACGGAGTCATAGAGAACACAGCTTCATGCCTCATACTTAGTGCATCTTTTGCTAATGATGAGACTGAGGTGGTGGAAGACCCTGAAAAAGAGTATAGTTTGAATAGGAGAGAAAGAGGGTCGGCGATGGCGACCTTGCAACAACCAATTCGAATCAACTCCAGTGCACCCCTTGCATTTCATGGTGTTTGGTTTGCAAACCGCGTGGAGGTTGCGGGAAGGGGCCCTGTTTTATTTTCCCAGTGCCGTTTCGGAGCCTCAGTAACGTGCCAAGATGTTAGAATACCGCCACCTTCGCCTTTTGCTAGTGTGCACCTTGCAATGGAGGGTGTATGTACCTTTTCCGAATGTGACTTTGACCACGATTGTGGAGCAGCAGGGATGGCTGGAAGTAATGAAGTACCTGCCATGACAGCCCGTGGATGCACAAGTCTGACAATCTTTAACAGTAGCTTTTCAGGTCCTGGTGTGGTATCTACTGCCCTAGCACTTCTTGATGGAGCAACACTGGAGGCAAATTACATGACTATTGCCCGATGCGGTGGTTATAGTCTCGTCGTGGGAGACAGGAGCAGCGCAGTGGTTATCCGAAGTGTCTTTGACCAAAATCAGAGGGGTGTTTGGGTTAAAGGAAGGGGAAACCTAGAAATCAGAGATTCGAGTGTGGAGAACACTTGTCATAAGCAAAGTAGCCTCCTCCTTACGGAGAATGCTCGCTGTTCTGCCCATGAATGCGTCTTTGAAGCCTCAGATGCTGGGCTAAATTCATCTGGCAAGGCTATTGTGGTGGCTCGTGATCAAGCACAGTTGTCGCTGAGTGCGTGTGACCTATTTTGGGGAGAGAGCGGCGCTCATTCTAGTAAAGGACCTGAAAAAGAGGGACATCGCGAGGAGTTTCAGAGTAATCCTACTACAGATCCCGATCGTAGCCAGGTGGAGGATTTTGGGCTCTGCCACGTAGTACTGCGAGAAAACAGCGAAGCAACACTCACTCAATGCCTTCTTCGGTTGCCCTTATTTGAAGGGCGTTCTAATCAGTGTGCTGCCGTTGGTGTCTTATTGCGTGGGGCTCTTCGTATTGACTCCCTTCCATTGTATGCGGTGGAGAATGTTGTTGTTTACGGATATCCCATGGATAGGGACACCATGGCGCAAGGAGGGACCTTAAGAAACCACAGTGATGCTTCTCGGCATTTGTGGGGTCTCGTGTTGCCGAACTCTTCTTCGGCTGGCCGGGCAAGGGAGCTGGAACAGCTGACAAGAATGTGGGTGGCCACTAATCGCTTTATTGAGTGCGATGAAAGTCCACTGGCAGACGCATCCCTCGCGTACAGTTCTTATGATTCATACTGCAAGGCTCTCGGTCGGTGTCCTGTGGCGTCTGACATGGAGGTATCTGATGAAAACGCCTCGCTCTGCTCTGCTTCCTCGGCGGGACAAACAGGGCGTCACCCTTCTGTCGCACGTTCCACGTTGGGAGGCGCACATTCGGTCCAAGCGGGTACGTGCTCCACGCTCGAATTAACACCAGGCTGTACACCACCGCGTTTGGAAGGTACGTGTCCGAGAAAAAGTGACGATGAGGGCCCTGACACGGTTTCTGAATCAGATGCGAACAGCGGCGCCACAAGTCTTACTTCGTTCGGTGCTGACGAGACTAGTGATGATGATGATTATGATAAAGATGATGATGGTGGTAAAAATAAACAAGGTGATAGACGCCGTGGGTATAGGACTGCAGCAAAGACTAGACTACGTACGAAAGCCAAGAGTAATAGCTCTTATGCTGGTGCCCTCCAAACTACCGAATCATCCCCCCAAGTTGAATCACTGCCACTCAAGATGCACCGAGTGGATTCTTCTACAACGCAGAGCAGTGATACATGGAAGGTCCCACCGACTCCGTCACTACATCCAAAGGGAAAGGGAACTTCTCAGAAAACTAATTCAACTGCATCTACTGTCAGCAGTGTCTGTCCATTGCCTTCGGTGGTGCCTGTAAGGGATGATAGCGACAGCAAGAAGGCCACGCCAGTCTCCGCAGGAAAGATGTCACGCCCCGGCGTGCCTTCCATCGCCAAACAGCGTGGTATTTGCCGAGTTCAAACGGAGGAAGCCAAAGGTGTGTTTCATGGTAGTCACACTAACCTGGAGACTCTGCTGCCTAACAGGCCGAGCACCACGCACGTCTTCCGCAGCTGCAGCGGCAGCATCAACAGCAACAACAATTCTACGTCAAAACTGCAAGGCCGAGCTCGACAGGGAACTACGAGGTCGGATAGTCACCCCAACTCTGATTTTTCTCCATATTGTCCAGGGGTGGCGGTTCGCCGAGGTTCCTCTTCTCTCAATATAAAGCCGTTGAGTGATCGTGACCATGACAGCAGCACTGACGGATCCAAGGATGTGTGGCCTTGGGAGGTGGCAGAGCTGCGATGCCTACTGCGAAAGAAGCTTGGGCTGTACCCCAGTCTTGAGGAGTATGAGCGGGCGTTCCAGAGTGTGGTGGAGGATGAAACGGCGGATAATGAAGAACATCATTGCAGACGACGTGCATCACCACGTCGTGTAGATGTGGAGCCGCTTCTGACTGACATTCAAGCACGGTACGGAGCACTTCTGCGCCGTGCGGAAAGAGCGCAAAGCTCCTCGGGTACAACTCCCAGGAGGCGTGCCCGGCGTGCGCTTGATTCATCACGGGAAGGAATAGGATGGGCCACAACGCGCTTGTACGAGGAGTTCTGGAACAAGTGGCATAAAACACATCTCTTTAGCGAACTGCTGGATGAGTTGCGACGGGATCAACGACGGCGTGAACGTCTTACACCTGACGAGATGGAAAACCAGGCGCAGCGCATGCATACAACCGGGGCTAAAGAACGAAAACACGGTAGTGGGGGGCGGGTGGCTGGGGCAGCCCGTAACTACGCTTTTCAACAGAGGCATTATCAGATGAATCGGGATGAAAAAAGACCCCATACCGGTACGGAAAGACGTGGTTCTACCTCTGATCTCCACCTGGAAAGTCGTGTGTGTGGCAAGAGCAACGGCGGCAGAGAGCATAGGACACACAAAAGTACTGTGCACCGCGAGAGCAGTCGACCAAGAAAGCCACCACTCTACCCACCTGAACCTCCGCGAATACCCGAGGGAAATGGTAGGTTTGTGCGCGAAAAGCGCTCAGTTTCATAACACCGGTCTAATTTCTGACTCGTGTCACCGTTTATTTGTGTTGTGATTGAGGAGAACATATATGAAATAAAGCCAAAGGGAAGGCATTGGAAAAGACAACCATAGGGGGTATAATAATATGCCTTTTTTTCCATCTACTTTTGGAGGGCGGGGGTAGGGGGAAGGGTAGCAGAGTTGTCGATTGCATATATATATATATATAT